TTTCTGGAAACACCGTCGATTTTTGGGCCTCAGTGGAAACAAACAGAGCTGCTATGTTGCCTTGGTCTGCCAGTAAAGTTTTAACATAAAGCACATTTAATATTGTAATTCAGATTCAAAATATCAATGGAATATAAATAATTATGGAATAAATGTCTTTTTTCGTATTCATTATTTGCCTTTTTTATTGCTCTCTTAATGGTTTGAATTTAGTTTTACAGGCTTTACGTCAGACCTGTTAAAAGAGCTGGTAGAAAATAACAATGAAGCACAATGATTTTCTCAGAATACCTGCATTGTCTTGAGTTTTACCCGTCTTTAATTTAAAATTACAATAAATTCTTAGCATTTACTATTGTTTCAATACAAATGCATGTATATTTATATATTCTTTATTAATTAGAAGCATACAGTTTGTTTTGTTTCTCAGTAATACAGTTTTAAGAACTTTCTAGACGACAGAGCGCTGGATGGAGGGAGTTACAGTCAATTGGTGATATGTGTGATCTGAAGAGATATGCGGAGACTGCGCACTCATGGACGGAGTTTTTAGGTACTGTCTGATTTCTAAAGAGGGCATGCGAGATCCTGTCTCCTGTGGATTCCCATATCCAATGCCGCCTGGTGTCGTAAATGGCGTCTATATATGTAGACATGTAGGCAAAACCCGGATCTAAAGCATTGGAGGGGATTTTGAACTAATTCATGTTTAATTCATTCTCATTTGTCATTATCTAGCTTTTATAATAAAGTATACAACGATTCTGATTAAATTTAATCAGAAAACTACATTTGGTTTACTTTTTATATATTACTTGTAGTGTTTCTGCGAATATCATTTATCTATAGCTATTTGATGAATAAGATGAACCGTATTCAGAAGTTTTGAGACAGTTTAAAATGAAAGATTATAAAGAATAAAAAAGTATAAGAGAAGGATTTTAGACCTACACGTATCAAGGATAAATCGTCGATGATTGGAATTGCGAATATAATTACGAACTTGTCTCTCAATATCATTCAATTCATCTGTAGAATCAAATCGTGCCAGATTAGCACAGTGAGTCTGACAGAATGACTGAAAATAATAATACAAAAAATTCAAGTAAGAAAATAATTATTTCCTGATGAGATGGTAAAAGCATGGATTTCTTCGCTGCTTTTCATCTCCAGAAATCTGCATATTATTTTCGACATATTTTTAAAATTTCATTTTCGACAATTTTTCTTTTTTTGTTTCCGATTGGAGATGAAAACTTTAGAATGTCGGAAATAAAAAGTTGAAAATTCAAAAAAACAAATCCGGAAATGAAATACAGCTTACGTCTTGTAGAGATAGAGTTGGGCTTATTCTTTGTCACAACAGTAATGAATACTTATGTTTTAAATTAAATAAAATCTTACAAATCAGTATAATTTTGTTTACCTTTGCTGCCATTCTTGTATATGTCGCATTTGAAACAAAGAAGCAGTCATTTTTGTAGGTGAAAGCATGTTTTGGACATTGACATGCTACAAAAAACAAATTCAAAGAATTGTTGTCCACCGCTTTCGGTATCTATTAGTGTATGGTGTATGGGATGCCATCATTTATGGCATATTGTGTCAAATATGTACGCCCTATCATATACCATTAAAAGTAATCGCCAAAGTTGATTTTTTTTAAATTTTGTCAAACATGACCCAATTAAGGTCAAGTGACAAAAAAAATTATACATGTACAGGGCTTTCAAAAAGATAAGAACCAGGTGGTACTTTATAAAAAATAGGAGGTACCACTTGGCGAACGCCGAAGGCGTGAGCAAGCTAGGGGGGTCCGGGGGCATGCCCCCCCGGAAAAATTTTGAAATTTAGAAGCCACCAGACAGCATTTCCTGGTTTCTAGACACATAGAATTATGCTGCTATCAGTGTTATTTTTATGCCATGTTTCAAAGTTTATTTTTGGTCAATACACATTACATGAGAAGTTTAGCACTGGATGGTGGAATTACATAGAAAAATTAGTTATTTGAGCAGAGTACGTAACAATAAGATTTAGGTAAAACTTCCAAGTTCTATGCTATAAAATATTTGTTTATAAACTTGTTCCAAAAATTTTGCAATGTTTGAGTTGTAAGTGTTTTGTTTTAAATATAAAAAAAAATTGAGTCACAAAAGGAAATGGAAATTCAAAATTTAAATTTAATAAATTAGAGAAATGAAATTGTATTTGCATTAAATGAAATTCATTTCTGTTCTACAGTAAAGTGCAGATTTAAAAAAAATAGAAGAAAAGCACTACATGATGCATAGCATGTACCAATAAATTCAGCATATTTTTCATGCACTGGTACATGTATATATAAAATAATATACATGTGTACATTAGACAAAGATGACATCAAGACTGGAGACAAAAAAAAATTAGATATGACCCCCTCAATTTACTGGATATGGTTACAGTACTGGGAAGAAAGTAAACGTCCGCAAGGTCATTCTCTTGACCACTAGAAAACTGCTGAATCAAAGAATTAAATGTATGGCAAAAGAAATAGTTTCTGTTTTTTGTTCTTTTGTTGCATAAGAAAGTTCCAGATATTTAAGACTGTAAGTAATTTATATCGTCAGCTGCGGATTTAGACACTTAAATTTGAAGAGTTGTGGCTATTGAAATGTACAGAGTTGGTCAAAGAATTAAACTGCGCTGTACGTATTGTTCATGTCGGTCTCTCTATCGGTCAATTGTGTTGAAGACTTTCCGCGGTCTAGTTCCTTGTATCTAAAAATCTTTTTTGAAATTCATTACCATGGCTTTAAATTGACACTTTCATTTCTGACACCTGGATTCCTATTTTTATTTTTTTGGTCGTATTTACTAAAAAACATATTCATAGTCATTAGCATTTATCAAAATCAGTGACGGAGGAATTTGATATGGAAATCTACTTTCGTTTTCGACAAGATCTATAAGACGCGTTAGGCAATCTCTTTTGTTTCATTTATTCAAACGCTTTAATGATCTTCTTGACTAACCAATCAAAAACGTTATTAGATACCATTACGGACTAACAATTAACCACAACTTGTGTAAATTATGGTAGGGTCTATCGTATTTTTACGCGATTTTTTTTTCTCCACTGAATATTTTGGCCGGTACCATGAACGAATCCAACCGGGTAAAAGTACCGGGTACCGGCATATTTTGAAAGGCCTGCATGTAGCATGCTCAGAAACATCTTGTTACATCAATACACAAATTCTATCTCTTTTCTATCAAAAGTTATAAGGAAAGACAAGAATTTTTAAAAGTAGAAAAAGTTTCATGGTCAAGGTGATGGGGATTAAAAATCTGTGCATTTAGAAAGGCCTTATCACAGGTAATACACAATGGCATGTGCAATAAGAAAGCCTTTTCTCATCTCTTTCAAAAGTTATGGTAAATGTAATTTTTAAAGTTTTGAAAAGTAGGTCAAAGTTCAAGGTAAATATCACATTGTCAAAATTATAGTATATTTGAAAGTTCTTGTCTCCGGTAAGGTAATACACATGTGAAATATGAAAGTCAAATATTGTAAGCTCCCCACGGATGGCCATCCTGGAATGGGGGCTATACAAAATAATACCACAACACTTTTCAAGGTCATTCCTTATTTCTTGCTTCATATTTCTCAGTAAGGACAAGACTTGGTATCAGTTTAATAATTGGTTTATTAATTCATCATTCAACAGGAAATAACAATAGGTAAACAAACATCTATATTGGATACATATAGATAATTAATATTCATTTTGTCCCACAGTGTCAACCGTACTTTCAATGGTAAAAATGGTAATAAAGTTGATTTGGCATTAAAAAGCTCTAAAAATATAACATCAGGTGTCCAGTGTGTTGGGAGATAATTTACAGTTGTCTCACCTAGGTTTAGGCTACGATCCTGCGATGTTGCTTGTGCAACTTATCTGTCAGACACTGGTGAGGCACTTATATTTATAACCTTCGGAAGTAGTCATGTGATACAAATTAACCAATGAAAAAGCTGTACGGTGTCACTCAACCAATCACAGCGCTGTACGGCGCCGTACAAACAGAGATCTGTCAAACAGTGTCAAACAAGGCTGCCGTACAATGAGGATAATAACTACAAAACGGAATTTAAAATGAGAAAAGACAAAATAACCAATAAATATGGATTACAAGAGATGTGTCTATAATAAGTAAGTAAACAATTCATGTGAATTAAATGCGTATTTCATGATAGAAAACTATAATCGTACAGCAGACGATATTCAAATAGCTCTGTCAAAGTAAAATTGTGTAGCTGTCATTAAACCCCGTTTAACGTGAAAACCCGTGATGAATCTTAGTAAAACATAGTCAAACATTAATTTTGTGGATATTCACAAGCAAAATAACATCGAATTGCCAAACAAAAATACAACTTGCTCAAATACGAAACTCTGGCTAATACAAATAAGATGTCGGCGGGATGTAAACAACTTCCATGACTCCAATGTTCAATCGTGTGCAATTATGGCTATGTCAAGTGCTATTTGACTCATAAATAATCAAGTAAAATACAGTAACATGCAAAGATTCTAAAGGTATGCACATGAATTCATGAAATATAGGAATTCAAACAACAAGTATGCCAAATGTGCTAAAAATAGACAATACCACGTTGAGTAAATAATCAAAGGACTGAAATGTAGTAGTGTAGTTAATGCATAATAAAATCCACCAAGATAATTTTCCCAATAAATGTTGACACAATTAAATCATAAAAAAAATAAACAAATTAATTAAATTCTACCCCAGGCCATTACACTTCCCTCACCCGAAACTTTTAATTCTCCTGAATTACCCTGAATAAAAGCATTTCTGCACAATATAGGAAAACACACATATAAATTTGTAATACATGCACTAATAGTTAATAAGTGTTAATTTTCTTTCTGATATAGTCACTTAAACTTAGAAGAATTCCAGCATCAAGGTGAAATCGTCACAACGTCTCTTCCACTGGCTGCTTCCACACTCAAGGAAATCCACCACTATTCCATCCTCCTACTTCAGCATGTACCATGCAGGGGTGTTCCCAAGGCGCCCGCTAGGACATACTCGACTCCAAAGGTGGGGTGCTGTCAACTTCCATGGAGACAACATAAGCGCTCAAGGCAAGGCCAAATATTTAATCTGTCCAAGAGGCCTGGATGCCCCATCCACCTGGCTGGATTCTCCCTAGAGTAAGGGCTGCAAGTTCCACCAGTAGAAATGGACCCAATTCCTTTGGGTATTGGGTAGCACGGCACAGAAACATTTCTGGGTACTAAGGCAATGGTTTCCTCTTTGTCTCACTGTCTCCTGGTTGGTGGTGGAAGTGGCATACAGCCCTTGGCAAGCAGGGACTGGGCTCTAGTGGCTAGTGGACCTATGGTTGGAAAGGAGGAACTTGGACAGGAAATTTCTGGGATGGACAAGGTACAGGTCTGGATATGGTGTTTGGAAAGGTTATGCTATTGGAAGCCAATTAGTTGGTGGGGACTGTCAGATAGATGGCAGGCAATGGATCGAGTTAAGGGAACCACTGGAATGTGGGGCAGTGAGGTGGTATGGTCGGAGTACAGGCTTTGGATTTTTCTCTTCTGGCTACTTGTATCATTGGATTTGGCTAGGTACAAGGAATTGAGGACAGCAGAGGTAACTATGATTAATGAGTGGAGGATCTGGGATTCTATACAGGGAAGGATTTGATGTCACCACAGCTAAGTATTAATAAATAACAAGAACAACTACGGCAATCAACCTAAATTCATTTTCTTTGAAATAGCTGAATGCAGTTAAACTTAAATCATCAACTGGTTACACCCATGAGATGCACTGGCCAGGTACATCTCGGTGCCTACCTCTGGTTAGGGCCATAGATTGCACGCGTCCGTCACCTCCCTACATCAGAGGCGTGGGCCATAGATGGTGCACCATCCGTCCCCTCCCTCCACCTACTGAAGCGGGCCATAGACCGTGCACATCCGTACCTCCCTCCACCAGCACAAAAATACAAAAGTAAAAATTAAAAAAAATATCTGCATCCAGTATCATTCGTAGTTATATATTCCACTCAAGTCTAATTTTGGATTTGGCTTGGTACAGTGGTTTGGTTGAATTTTTGTTGATATTGGTTTTGGTATCCCTGGAGCCTGTGAGGGCAAGCTCTCATGAAGTGATTTGGTGAATCGCATATATAGCAGTTTTTGTGTGCTGGGTAGGATCTATGGTTCTTATTGGAGCTGTGTTCAAGGCGATCTAATCTTGAAATAAGGTTTTGAAGAATGGAGTTAATCTCGCTGTTTACTTCTTTTTCAGGCTTCTGCTCATCAAATGACCTTTTTGCTCTCTTGGTTGATTCAACTGTACGAACATACAACTTGCACTTTTCGGAACTATCCCCAAGAATGGACTCATACCGTTCAATTACATCTACTGCTTCGGCCACCGTCTGACAATCTTTGTCAATGCACCGACACTTCATTTCGAGGGAGATAACTTTATACAACTGATTAAGAGCTAATGCTTCTTGAGCTAAGGCATCTAAATTACAGTAGGCTCTTTGTGCCATCTGCCTGATGTCATCACCCAGTTCTGCTATGGACTCACCTGGAAGGCGTTGTCTCATCTCAAGTTTAGAAAGCCATCTGTTCTGATTTTTAGTACTACCAAACCTTTGGTTAAATTTGTGAACAAGAGACTGAAAGGATTCTTTATCTTCAGGGGATAAACCCATATAATAAGTTCTGGCTTGATCGTGAAGACTTGCAGCTAGGAAAAGTAACTTAGTGCGATCAGACCATCTGCCTAACTCCGCACAATCTTGGAAATGAGAGATGTATTCATCCCAGTCATCTTTACCATTGTAGGACTCTGGCTTTACAACTATATTAGTCTCAGGAGACTGTCTAGTCACATCAATCAATCTATCATATTGCATTCTGGGAGGAGGGGAATTTTCTGGATATGGTACAAATCTATCTTTGTTGCAAAGTTCTGGTTCAACATCAGGAACTGGGCTATGGCTAGGTCTCTCTGGACGTTTGGGGGAGGGGGAAGAGTCAAAGAATTGGTCACCCTGGCCTAACTCATCATCATCAACATGAAATTGCACTTCAGGGTCTGGGGATTGAGCCGTTGCCATCTCACTAGTATTAATAAAAATGTAAAACCACAAATTATAATTAACAAACACACTATGTACATGTTGTACCAACACACTGGACAGCTGAGCGGTTACTGGACAAGGAATGGGTTTGTATCACTGGATGCCTTTTGGAAAACAGGCATCCCACTTCTGACACCAAAAATTGTAAGCTCCCCACGGATGGCCATCCTGGAATGGGGGCTATACAAAATAATACCACAACACTTTTCAAGGTCATTCCTTATTTCTTGCTTCATATTTCTCAGTAAGGACAAGACTTGGTATCAGTTTAATAATTGGTTTATTAATTCATCATTCAACAGGAAATAACAATAGGTAAACAAACATCTATATTGGATACATATAGATAATTAATATTCATTTTGTCCCACAGTGTCAACCGTACTTTCAATGGTAAAAATGGTAATAAAGTTGATTTGGCATTAAAAAGCTCTAAAAATATAACATCAGGTGTCCAGTGTGTTGGGAGATAATTTACAGTTGTCTCACCTAGGTTTAGGCTACGATCCTGCGATGTTGCTTGTGCAACTTATCTGCCAGAGACTGGCGAAGCACTTATATTTATAACCTTCGGAAGTAGTCATGTGATACAAATTGACCAATGAAAAAGCTGTACGGTGTCACTCAACCAATCACAGCGCTGTACGGCGCCGTACAAACAGAGATCTGTCAAACAGTGTCAAACAAGGCTGCCGTACAATGAGGATAATAACTACAAAACGGAATTTAAAATGAGAAAAGACAAAATAACCAATAAATATGGATTACAAGAGATGTGTCTATAATAAGTAAGTAAACAATTCATGTGAATTAAATGCGTATTTCATGATAGAAAACTATAATCGTACAGCAGACGATATTCAAATAGCTCTGTCAAAGTAAAATTGTGTAGCTGTCATTAAACCCCGTTTAACGTGAAAACCCGTGATGAATCTTAGTAAAACATAGTCAAACATTAATTTTGTGGATATTCACAAGCAAAATAACATCGAATTGCCAAACAAAAATACAACTTGCTCAAATACGAAACTCTGGCTAATACAAATAAGATGTCGGCGGGATGTAAACAACTTCCATGACTCCAATGTTCAATCGTGTGCAATTATGGCTATGTCAAGTGCTATTTGACTCATAAATAATCAAGTAAAATACAGTAACATGCAAAGATTCTAAAGGTATGCACATGAATTCATGAAATATAGGAATTCAAACAACAAGTATGCCAAATGTGCTAAAAATAGACAATACCACGTTGAGTAAATAATCAAAGGACTGAAATGTAGTAGTGTAGTTAATGCATAATAAAATCCACCAAGATAATTTTCCCAATAAATGTTGACACAATTAAATCATAAAAAAAATAAACAAATTAATTAAATTCTACCCCAGGCCATTACAATATCTTCTAGTTCCAAAGTTATGACCAAGGTTAAAGTTTTTGTGACAGGCGGACAGACTGACGGACGGATCGACGAATGAGATTTAATGTCCCCTCACTTTTGCAAAAAGGGGATCAAAAAAGATTACAGTGTCTTAGCTTTATAAGGTGTACATGTTTACATCTATGGCTGCGAGTCTCAATTTATGCATTTAAGAAAATATTGTCTTTTTTCTTATCTCTCTTTTTTCTATCTCTTTTTAAAAACATAATGATATTGATACAAGCATGACTATTCATTTTGTATAGTTGGGACTATGTTTTACATTTATTCCAAAAGGTTATTTTTCTGTTGAAAAAAGTGCTGTTTTGCATTTAATAAATTGAAATGCAACACTTTATACTTTCGAAAAATAAGCATGAAAGATAACAAATTCATTAAATAGGCTTTACTAATCATTCATCAACCGATCGAACTCAGAATAAACCCTTCATTTAAAAATCAATAAAAAAACCTACAGTTCACTGTTGTCCTTGCTGCTGTCGTGGAAGGTTTTGGCGTTGTCCTTACATTCATCGGTACAGCTTTTGTGGTTGTAAGCGGCTTTATGTGAGTATTACATAGATTCTTACTGCAGCAACCTCCGACTAAAGCTCTCTGTGATCTCCTTCCAAAGTTGTTCGTAGAAATAGTTGCAATGGAATCGCAAACCTTGAATTATATAGAGGTATGTGATGCTAGTGTACTGCTTAGCTTTGTTTCCTGCAACAAACCTTACAATACTTTTAAAAAAGGATGATAATTGATTGTCAGAAATTTTATTACATTGTAGTTTGTTCTTTTAAATAATAAGCTAATAGACCAAAGAAATTTCCTGTTACATAATTTTTGATCGCAAAAAAATTAACACCTTTTCTCTCAACACATCTTTCATTGTGAAAAATTAAAAATTGAAATTAGAAAAAAATATGCATAATTAATTGTTTTATTAAAAGGTGTATTGTAATGGTAACTAAATTTACCGCCTGTGGAGCACAACCGAGCCTAAATCCGTGCTCTTTATAAGAGTTGACCGTCTCAAGTCCATAGCAAAACTATAATATAAACAACTAGAAATTAAATATATACTGTCACCTGTTTTCTTTAATTCCTTAAAAAACCTTTGAAAAAAATACGCTAAAAATATTGCTTTATCAATTTTCTTAAAAACAAATAAATGATTTACTTTCAGGTCTTTTCATGGTCATATAAAGACTTAGATATGGATTTTAAATAACTCAACGGCAGCTGTATATTGAAAATGAACCTACCTCATCATGTTTACAAAGTGTTGTCATGTTGCACAATTCTGAGTCTGCAACGTATGGACAATTGTAACAAGTCTCTGTGATAAAAAGAAAAGGTCGATATTTATTGTGTTCAAACATATCGACTAGAACAATGGAATAATGTCCACCTTTCTAGACTATATCAAGGAATGTGGTTATTCTTTTCAATAAAACATCAAGTCTTAATCATTAATAAAAGCAAAATGACAGGCGATAAATTAATGAACATCATTTTATATACGTACTGCATTTTCCACAGGACACTGGACACATGGACATGATACAATCCTTAGAACAGGAAGAGGGGTCCGAACGTATAAGATCCTGACAAATTATCGGAGAATTTTCAACACAGAAAGGATCAATGTGTTGGCGCTTCCCGACTAAAAGGACTGTAAATAACAATTTCTGTCAGATTTATGGATAAAGACCTGTTATATCTTTCATATCATCATCAGTTTTCCGCCTTATCGATGTTCACAAAAAGTGTTTATTCTTTAATATTTACATTTGCTGTGTTTTTCTAGTAAGCCAGCTGCTAATAACGCATTTCATGAAAAATGCCTACGTGACAATTCTTTGTGATTTACACACCAATAACTCACACAAAACTTAACAACATTCATTAAATAAGTACCTCCACCAGATTCTTCGGTTGTTGTTTCTGTTATTGTTTTTGTTGTTTGAGTGGACTTCTCTGTTGTTAAATGTAACGTTGTTTCTGTTGTTGGTAACGTCGGTGTTTGTGGTGATAATGACAGTGTTGTTGGTGGTGGTGGAGATGGTGATAAGGTTGTTGTCCATGTTGTCGTCTTTAATGTTGTTGGTATTTTTGTCGTCGTCGTCGTTGTTGATGGCATTTGTGTCGTTGTCGTTGTTGTTGTTGTTGTTGGTATTTTTGTCGTCGTCGTCGTCTTTGTTGTTGTAATTCTGTGATTATTACACAAATCTGACGTACAGCACGATGTTTCTAAACCGGGACTGTCACATATCTAATAAAATATTTCAAAGTTTCGTTACAAGTTCGGATTTGGTAGATAAGACGTTTATATGCTAAAAAAATGGAAAAAATGCAGATCTATACTAATCATATAAAAATATAATACTTTCACAACTATTTCAATGATTCATATCAATTGTTGCACAAACACAAGGAATTTTGTTCTAATTTGCTGGGAATAAACAGTTCCATTTAATGAAGAAAACTTGATACTTTTACATGAAAAATCTTACAGTTCCAAGAGCACAGCCTAGTTTGTAGACTTCCTTAAAATCGCTGTTGAATGATTTCACAGAAATGCATTGCTGGAAATATTGAGAAAGTATTGAATGAATGTACATGTGTTATATAATTCTATGACAAAAGAAAATTTTCATATTAAAATTAAGTTTCTGTACCGTGTGTCATATAAATACCAGTGTAAGGAGATAATATATACAAACATGTTCGTTTGAAGGACATTCCGTGGTAGTGTTACAGTTGTTCAGTTTATCAACTTCGTGGCAGGAATAACATTTCAAAGCTGAAAATGGATAGAAAACTTTTAGCATATTCCTTTTAAGTAGGATGTAAAAATGGAATTATTGCAATTTTAAGTAAAAATTGGCTCTATTAATGTTTTTAAATATTCAAAATAATATGAACACTTGATCTTTAAGAATTTTTATAAAAACCCTCAACTTGTTATTCTAATAGCCCTCTATATAGAGAGAAAATAGTTAGATATGTTGTGATGTTTATAATTGATCTAATTGCCATGTAAACTATTTAAAGTATACGTGCATTTTAAACATATATGAAATTAGAAGCATAATAAATGCTTAATATTTTTGTAAATACAAAACATTGAAAATAAGTATGGATCGACATAATCCTGATGTTTTACATTAAACAGACTAACATATCTAGAAAGCTGCGTTTGATATATTTCTTATATTTAATCAAGTACAGGCCTTGAAAAGAAAAGAACCATGTGCTTTTATGCATAAATTATAATAGGTTTTCATACCAATGTGTCAAAAGTTTCAAACAAATGCTTACAGAGAAAACATGTACATTTAATTTTTATGGCTAAAGTAGTTACCACACTTTCCACACGTTCGCAGACAAACACTGGAGAGACAGGCATCATTACATAGATCCTCGTTCTGTGACATCATATCATGACACGCCTGACTACTGACGTCATCGCACCCCCTGACCTGATAACACTTCAAGTAAAACAGGACAGCGAAAGCCAACACTGATAAACAACCAAAACACAGGAAATACGTGGAAATTTTAAAAAAGCAATTATGTTAGCCATGGCACAAAAATTTTACACCTGTGTTTTTAAAATGTTGAATTGAGCTGAAAGCACCATTTTTATTCAACTAAGCCGTCGGTCATGCGATGAAAGGACATGATTTCTCTTTCTCTCTATTTCCACCAAAGTAATTAACAAGCTTTAATTGTCAAGGATCCATTTAATGATGCTAATTTATTCGTTTTCTTCCTTTAAATTATTAATAAAAATATTTAAGTTGTCAAAACTATTTAGATTACATTTAAAGGTGCTTTAACCTTTTTTTTAATTTGTAGTTTTAAGGTGCCATTTGATCAGTTAAAAAACAATAGCTTACTCGATCCTGTCTTTTCTACATAAGCAATGCAATCGATGGTATGTTTAATTTTTGATAGTTTGAAGTTCATTTTTAAATACAATTGTTATCCCGTTGAAACAAAGTTAAAGGGGATACTAGACACACTGTGTTTATAAAAGAAAACGTGTGTCTCCGTTTGTATGTGAGTGGGTGGTTGAGTTAATTTTATGTGAAATAGAATGGACGTGATTTGCATCAGGACCGATGTTGAAAACTGCCTTGATTTATAGATATTTTCTTTTCGAGGTGATGCTCAGTCTTATTGTTTCTTTCGCAGAGAATATTACTTCATAAGGAATATTTCATAGATACCAAAGTTCTACTTATTTACGATTTTTTATATAATCGATTCGAGGTTCAAAAAGTGTTACCTGCCAAAGTATGGTCACACGGTTTAATATGAATGGCTATCGATTTCATTCTTTAAATATAAGAATAAAGAAAAAATAATATATGAAAGTCTTCTAAGTTCGAAAGGATATACCCTGTTTAGATATTTGAAAAAAAAATTACCAACCTTTAAAATAGTTTGTGTCCATTCCGGAAACTTAAATTCGGTAAGGCTTAGAGTAACCTGTACTAACATTCTTATCAACTGATATATACAATTCTCACTCTAGATAATACAATGTACATGCATAACATGTTGTAAGGAACTTACTTATATCAATAACAAAAATATCAATATCACATTAATTGCAGGAAAAAGAAACTTATTATAGACATAAATAGCCGAACTTTTAAAGATTATTCAATTTCGTCTTGTTACATTCTAAGAAATATTTTACATTTATGTTATAATTAGAAATAAAGGGTCATTTCCAAACAAGAGTTATCTTTGGTGTATGATTTCATTCTTTTGATATCAATTCTATATTCTTACTCGGTCCACAATGGTATATCTTCTGTCCACACATTCAATTCCCCTATCTTTAGTCCTGCGTCCTTTAGAATATAAATTTCATGATGGCAAATATTTTCACATTCCCTAATTCTGTAAATCACTTTTTATTCGCAAGAACTTTATTTTCGCGTAATTACGCAATACAATACATTCGCGAAAATTAAATGCTCGCGTATAAAAGTATTTCTTACGATTTTATAGAGGAATAACAACTATTCGTGAAAATTATGTCTCGCTTACAAAGAGTCAGAGACAATCTCGCGAAAATAAGATGTCGCGAAAATTAAGTGATCTACAGTTCTACCTCCATTGTTAGAAATTTAAATCACAAAGCTGGACGCAGCTTGTTTTGGATGTCAAGCGATATAATCTGTAATCTTTCGAATCCTTTATTACCTTTACCTCGTAATTTTAGGATCCAGAAAACATTTTATTTGTTTTGTGTTCCATCCAACCCATATGCAATGCCAATCTAAAAAGTATTCCATGATTCAAGCTTCTAATCTCTGATTAGGTTTAAAGATTTTTTCTGGCTTGTTCTAACGTATTTTTTCTCGTATTAAAGTCACTGAGCCAAGATATTTAAATGGTAAATATCTCTTAAGTGTAAGCATTTTTTAGAAGCGATTTTCACCTATAATATGTTTCTGGCTGAATTCTAAGATTATCCGTATGCTGGGGATTCACGCTGTAGCAGTGTTCTTCAATATGAGAAGAAATCATCTCCAAAATTAAGATTAGCAATATATAGCTTGAAATCTCTTTTGGAACTCCTCCTCCCTTCCGTCTAGATGTGATGGTGCATCTGGGAGCAGATGGAAATGCTTATTTTTCCCTTTTGCACATATACTGTTGATCTAATTCATTAACTTCGAACTCCTATGATACACAATTTATTTTCGCCTCTATCACTTGATGTATCTAAAATGTAAGTTACTACTTTAATCATAGGCCAAAAGGCCTTATAGGTTACCTGAGTATCATGTAACAACTTTCCAACAATTGAATTTGATTCGTTTTTTTAAACCAGAGGCCATGAAATTCACAATTTTGAAAGAGGCAATATTGCTTATCATAAATATACACTTATGCTTAGTTTGGTTACTTAATACCCAGAGGTAGATAAGAGCAACAAAAAGAAAATACATTTCCACTTAATAACCAATTGTGCACTCCACCCCACAGAAAACAGTGAACCTCGGGCCATATATTTCAAAATTTTGGAAATTTTATTTCATCATCGATGTCTGATTAATACCAAAGAACAGTTTCTAAGTATTCATTTATTTTCAGACTATGTAACCCCCCAGTACACCTGACCCATGGGCTCTGAAATTAACCATTTTGGAAGAGGCACCTTTCTTCATCTTAATATGTACTTAGATTATTGGCATAATACCCAGGAACAAAGGGAAAGATTATCAAGGAATATCAAAGAAGAGCCCCACCCTAACACCAGAGCTCCTGACCCAAGGGCCCTGAAATTCAGAATTCTGGAAAAGTAATTCTTCCTTATCATAACTATGTACATAGTTCATTGGTTTAATACCCAGGAGCAGAGAGAAGATTTTTGTAAAAAATTATGCATTTTCACTTTATAATCAAAAGAGCGGCCACTCTCACACTAAAACCCCTGAAATAAGGGCCATAAAATTCACAATTTTGGAAGTCGCATTCTTGCCATAACTATGTACCTAGTAAGTCTGTTTAATACATAGGAGCAGAGAAGAAGATTTTTAAAGAATTTTGTATTTTCACTATATAATGTATAGAGGCCCCTCACACACACACCCCCCCCCCCCCCCCCCCCCACCTCACACCAGAACACAACCCTGGGGCCATGGAATGAAGAAATTCTCCATATCGGAAAAGGCATTCTTGCTCATCATAATTATGAACATATAAACCTAGTAAGTTTGTCAAATACACAAGAGCAGAGATGAAGATTTTCAAAGAATATTTCACTATAATTAATAGAGCCCCGTCCTAACTCCAGAACCCCTGTATCCGGGGCCATGAAATTCACAATTTTTGGAAGAGGCAGCTTTATTTAATATATTTATGTACTTGGTTTGCTTACTTAATACCAAGAAGCAGAGAAGTAAATTGTTGAAGAATTAATGCATTTTCACTATATAATCTATATAGCCCGCCCTTGCACTAGAGCCCCTGACCCTGGGACCAGGAAATTCACAATTTTGGAGAAGGCAGCCTTATCAAACATAAGTACATGTATATACTTAGTTTAATTTACACTGAGGAGTAGAGAAGAAGATTTTCAAAGAAATAATGCATTAGCACTATATAATATATTTAGCCCTGCCTAGCACTAGGACCTCTGACCCTGTGGCCATGAATTACACAATTTTGGTAATTGCTGATTATATTCAGGCCAACAGATTGACTACTTGATGCTCAGGAGTAGAGAAGAAGATTTTTAAAGATGGCTTTAATTTTAGTTGTTTTTGCAACATCCCTCAGGGCCCAGGGGAGCAGGGGAAATGAAATTCAAAATGTTTGTTCCCCTTCACCAATAGATGTTTAATGCCAACATTGGTTGAAATTGGTTGAGCGGTTGCAGAGAAGAAGCTGAAAATGTTCAAATGCGTTTACCCAGGTGACGTAAAAATAGTGTACAGTTGACGTGGAAACAACCTCGGCAAGTGACGATGAAAAAGGTTGAGTTTGGTCATTTTTAAAATGATGTATGTTTGCCCTCTTCCGACTCAGGGTAAAATTATTGGGTCCATAGGTAGGTGGGAAAATCTTTTTCAACATTCGTTGACAGGATAATAAGTATAAAAAAATATCGTGTTCTTGAATATAAAAAGAAAATTGAGTATAGGGTTATTTTTAGTCAATCAGTCGGGAGAGGGCTACCATACCTTTCTTTATAGATGGCCTTATTCGTGGAACATTTTAAAGTGCAATTAAATTTTACATAGAACAGGAAACAAACATAAAATTATGTGAATATTGGTACAATTTTTAAGAGTGTTTCCTTTCTAAAGTCTTAGAGACAATATATTTGAAAGAAGAGCAAAAGAAAAATATTTTATCAAAAAATTAAATTCACTTCTAACAGGTTAATTTAATTTGATTTTTAACTAAACATTCACAAAAAGAATAACCTTAATTAATACTTTTGTTAGACATTACAATTGAAAAAAAAAAGAACATTTAAAGATTAATGAAAGAGCTAAAACGTTTTAACCTGTGTTAATTTAATTAAATCAATGTTTTATATATTTAATAAAGTCTATTTACATAATTGGATTAGACATCATGTATGACCTATGCTAGTCCTCTATAAAGTCCAGGCAGCGAAGGCTACCACCATTATTAAGAATTGACAGTACTTTGTACTTTTCGATGATTTAATTTTATATATATATATATATATATATATATATATATATATATATATATATATATATATATATATATATATATATATATATATATATATATATATATATATATATATATATATATATTAGAATTTTTTAAATTTCATTTTAAAAAGGAAATCTCTGCATAAAAGTTTATCGTTGAATATTTTTGAGGTCTTCCGTTTCCAACGGAAGACCTTCTACTGATTCTGTTGGTCAAGATTATTAAGGTCTTCCGTCTTCAGCGGAAGACCTTCTTGTTATTCTTAGGTTTCTTTTTCACTTTTATTATTAAGGTCTTCCGTCTTTAGCGGAAGACCTTATTGTTTTTCTTAGGTTTCTTTTCCACTATTTTTATTATTATTGTTTTTTTTTCTTACCGATTTTGTACGCGCGATTTCTCGAGAACAGCTCGATCGATTTTCATGAAACTTTCAGGTCTGATAGAACATCAAAAAATCTAGATACATTTTTTTTTATTTTGATGACGTCACTTCCGGTTCGAAGTTTTCTGCGATTTAGTGATTTTTAGAGGGTCAATTTGTCCGGCAGTTTTCTCAAAAAGTACTTAACACAGAAGCTTGAAATTTTCAGTGATGCTAGAGCAACTTTTGGAAAATTGCACTAAGTATATCACAACTACCGGAAGTACGAAGCGCCGACGTTCGCTATGGTCCGAAAATTGTCCTATCAAGAATTTCAAAATTTTAAGCACCTTTTCAACGATAACTTTTTACCTAGAAATATTTTGTTAAAGCATGTAGAACAAAAAAGGTGTAGAATTTCAAGATCTTTCAAATGAGATCTCGAAAAAAGGGCTGGCCCCTTAAATCAGGGGCCTGGAGGGGCCTAAAATTTTTCCTTTATATCTCAAAAAGTATTGCGAATTTGTGATACGTCAAAGAAGCAAAGTTGTTCAAAATGTCAAGCTCAATCTATTAAAGTCGTCAAAATACGTCCGGCGTCGTCAATTCCGGCCAAACCGGAAGTTGTCGGAAAACGCGTATTTTTGTCGCTCTTGACAAGTTTTTCGGTAACAGATGTCTACGGGAGCATTAAAATTAATTTTCCGTCCGTCGTCGTCACTTCCGGTCAAACCGGAAATAACCGAAAATAGCTTATTTTTGCAATAATTAACATGGATTTAGAGGAATCAAACCATTTTTGGACGTTATTTCTCAGTTTTGTTAAAAATAAAAGCCACTTCCGGTCAAACATGACGGAAGACCTACTCGTTGCTTTGCAACGAGCTTTGCTCTAGTTATTATTCTTTTTTTTCTTACCGATTTTGTGCACGCGATTTCTCAAAAACGGCTCGATGGATTTCAATGAAACTTTCAGGACTTATGTAACATTACTTGAACCTTATGCATTTTTTTCCGATTTGATGACGTCACTTTCGGTTTGGAGATATTGTTGATTTTATGATTTTTGAAGGGTCAGATTGTCCGCAAACTTTCTCAATAATGGCTCAAGATAGAAACATGAAACTTTCAGGTATGATAGACCATAGTCTATAGATATGTATAGTGTATTTCATTTTTATCGGAAGTGCCGCACGTCGGCGCTCGCTATGGCCCGAAAATAGTCCTATCGTGAATTTCAAA